TACACCATCAATTATTAATATTCCTCCACAATCAGCAATTAAAACTGCTGATCATCCACCTATTTATTCAAAACAATATCCAGCATCATCTAAAGATCAAGAAATTAAATTTCAAGAAACACAAAAATTATTAGAACGTGGTCAAATTGAAGAATCAACTTCACCATGGTCATCACCGATCGTTCTTGTTAAGAAAAAAGACAAAACGATGCGATTTTGTATTGATTATCGACGATTAAATGCTATTACAATTAAAGATGCATTTCCATTACCTCGTATTGATGAAATTTTTGATCAATTATCCGATGCAACGTATTACACAAAATTCGATTTTAAATCTGGTTATTTCCAGGTACCTCTATCTAAAGAGGACCGACCTAAAACTGCATTCTCAACTCGTGATAATCATTATCAATTTACAGTTCTTCCACAAGGAATAACAAACGGTCCCGCAACATTTCAACGTGTTATCAATCATATATTAGGTCCTACACGATGGAAATATGCATTAGCATATATTGATGATGTAATTATATATTCAAAAACATTCGAAGAACATTTATCACATCTCAATGAAATATGTACAATATTAAAAAATGCTCGATTTCGTCTTAATCCAGAAAAATGTGAAATTGCTCGAACACAAACTGATTATCTTGGACATCGTATACAAAATGGTGAAATTCGTCCAAGTCCTACCAATATACATGGTTTACTAAATACAAGATTACCACAAACGGCAGATGAAGCTTGTAAATTCGTGAAAGCCGCTGAATATTATAGAAAATTCATACCAAATTTTTCTCTAATCGCCGAACCACTTAGAAAATTCGTACCAACTACTCGAACTCAACGAAAGAAAGGACAAAAAACTATCATCACATTAACACATGAAGAAATCGAAGCCTTCGAACTACTTAAAAATTTTCTTACAACTGATCTGGTATTACGACTTCCAAATAATAGATTCCCTTTCAAAGTTCAAACTGATGCATCTGATGAGGGAATCGGTGCAGTACTATTACAACTTTATCCGGATGGTGATAGACCAATTGCATATCTTTCAAAGAAATTTACTCCAGCACAACGCAAATGGTCTCCAATGGAACAAGAATGCTATGCATTTATATGTGCATTAGATAAATGGCATAATTATTTAAGCGGAATCAAATTTATTTGGGAAACTGATCATAAAGCACTAACACAATTAAATCAAAAAGCACAAATTAACAAACGGTGTGAAAGATGGAGATTAAAAATTTTAGAATATGACTTCAAGGTGAAATACATTCCTGGTTTAACAAATTCAATGCCTGATTATTTATCAAGGTCTCCAGTTGATGATGCCGAAGAAGATCCTGATGAAGTTTCACTTCTTATTTCGAAATCTACACAAACCGATTTTTCAGATATTAAAAATCATTCATCTATCGTCGCAGCTGTTCAAACTCGTGCGATGAAATTACGAAATCAAACTTTAAATGATCCGAATGATGGCACAAAATTAGCACCAGATTCTCTAACCTCTTCATCCTCTAATCAAACATTGAATAATTCAATGAAAGAGAATCGAATAATTTCATTTTCCATTGAAGAATTAATTCAAGCTCAACAAAATGATAATTATGCAAAAAATATTCTGAACAATATCAAGAAATATAAAAATTATATGATCAAAGATAATCTTTTAATGCGTCGATCAAAACCGTCAGTTCCTTATGTACCACAAGGTGATTTTCGAAAAACAATTTTACAAATTTACCATGATACTGCAGCTAATGGTGCTCATTTCGGAAGAGATAAAACAATATATAAAATTAAACAACGTTATTTTTGGCCTTCAATGTACAAAGACATTGATAATTACGTGAAATCATGTATTTTATGTGCTCAACATAATCCTAGTCGAAAAAAACCTCCTGGCAAATTACGACCAATTAAACCTCCAGAAGGTGTATGGCAACTAGTAGCTATGGATTTTCATGGTCCTATTAATCCAACATCTCGTCGTGGCAACAAATATATTATATGTCTTACGGATATTTTATCAAAATTCGTGGTATCAAAAGCAGTACGTGATAATACGGCACAAACAGCTGTTAAATTTCTAAAAGAAGATGTTATTTCAAAATTTGGTACACCTCGATGTATCTTAACCGACAATGGCACTCATTTTACATCAACAATTATGAATGAATTAATAAAACAAATTGGATCAACACATTTATATTCAACACCATATCATCCTCAATCGAATGGTCAAGTTGAAAGATACAATTCAACAATGGATGCAAAAATTGCAGCTTTATCCAACATACAGAAAACAGATTGGGATGACCAATTACCATTTGTAACATTCAATTACAATACGTCGATCCATTCCTCGACCAAACAAATCCCATTCGAAATGATGTACGGTCGAGCACCAATATTACCATTTGATTATCAAGGAGATAATGTTACAATTCAATATGATGATGAACACGTGAAAAAACTTCAACAATTTTTATCAAAATTAAATGAACAAGCGAAATTTAATATTATTAAAAATCAAGAACGATACAAACAACGTTATGATATAAATCGTTCTGATCCATCTTATCAAATTGGTGATCTTGTCCTCGTGAAAACACTCAACATACGTCACAAATTTGATATTCGTTATGAAGGACCATTTAGAATCATTCAAATCATTACACCCAAAACATTCATTGTTCAACACGTCAAAAAACCAACATTATATCGTCAAGTTACAACCGACGTGTTACTACCAATATTTGAACGAATGTATTAATTACAGGATCTCTAACAAAGAGAACCGTAATATCAATATGTCAAATTAAATGGAATAATTATTTATTGATAGATCAATCTAATTAGATTTAATTTAGTATAGCATGATCGGGGAGCGTGAGTTTCCCTCACTCACTGGTTGTGAAGGGCTATTATATTTAATCTGGTGCATTTTATTTTATATTTTATTATTCTATTATACGAAATATAAAATTGGGTATTTTTTCAATATTCATTTATTCTTACTAGATTCTCACTGGATCCATGAGAATCGAAAAGAAATAATTATTTCGTAATATTAACTATTGACATATGAACAAATGAATGATGAATAGTTTTACACTTTCATTCTGACTTTTTATGGTTTATATAAACTTCAAAGATTCTTTGTCCAAATAAATCAAATCTTTTACTAATTATAGATTCTCTATTTGAAGAATCGATATCTATGGTCATCTATTTTTTCTTGTAGAAATGTTATCAGAAAACGAATATCGAAAAACAAAACAACAACTCGAAAACATTCCACGTGATTTACTAACTAAACAAAAAAATAATCTTAAAAAACTCCTTCAAAAAAAATTACATGAACATGAGCTTGCTTCCAAATATCCACCATTTCAACCTTTACCATATACACAATTTTTTATTAATTATGCAACTCATGAATTAACATTGCTTCATTTAATTGAATCGGTACAATGTTCAAAAAAGATTATTTTAGATACAGAATCTATTACTATTCCTCATCAACCAAATGAACCAGCACTTATCCAACTCCAATTGATATTACCAACTTCATATTCGTACGTAATTTTTGTGGAAGTTTGCCATTTACCACGTGAACATGATACAACATTTGATTTAATTAAATTATTTTTTCATACCTTATTTCAATTTGATAAAATCATTTACATTTGGGGAGAAATTAAAGA